ACAATTCCGATCAGCATCAGAATCCTGCCAGTGTACAGAACCATGTCTGTTTTCATTCCTATCACCTTGAATCTGATTCCCTCTGTCAAGCTTGGCCAAGACAGCTTTTTCAAACTGTTCTGCCCAAGATTGCCAAGAATCTACAGGTGTTTTCTCAGAATTACTCACATCTTTACTTACAGACTGTTTTATGAAAACCTGGTTTGGTGTGGGAAAATCATAACAAGGAGGGGATTTACAGATAGTCTTTTCTTGCATTTTTGTGCAACTTTTTGGCACAGAATGATGACTACCAACCTCACTGTCTAATTTCTGACTCTCCTTTTCATACTCATCCAATTGCATTTTAAGCTGATTTATTTCCTGTGCACATTTATCTGTCAAAGCTTTCATTTCTTTTTCATGATCAGCCTGACGAGTTTTATGCTCAGCAAGTAAATCTTGGTATTTCCCATTTTGAATGCCCAGATCGTCACTGTACGTGTCCAATTTGGCATTCAGTGACTTGTTTTCATCACACACCATAAGAAGTGCTGTCATAAAGAAAGGCCAAGAGTGTATTATGTACGCCATTTTCCTTTCTATGTTCTTGGTGTGTTTAGCTTCCCATTCTATGCTTTTCAACCAAACCTCATAGGTTGCATCATTTTTCATATGTTTATGAATATGAACTAGAGCATGTTTTCTTAGGTCTTCAATTATTTCAGTATTATCTGATTCAGCCATATTTCTATATACTGATTTAATCTCAATATAAAACTCTTTTCTATATCAGGATTAAATTGCACGAATTACACCAATATTATTGTATATGAAATATAATTTCAACTTAAACGATCTCAGCACCGTGCCTCCAATATGTGGGGATATTTATGGGATAATAATAGTAACAGTGAGAATTGCCCACTAATTCAATTCTCAGACCCAAAGATCGTTATCGTAAGTGAGAAGTATTTCATATAAATAATATCACAATTTTGTTATAAAAATAGATTTTTATTTTATAATAACAAATTAATTAATAATAATAATAATAATATGTAACATGCGTGACAATAATCACTGAATATCCAGTATAAAATGATATGCAATACACAGGAATGGCTATACATGTTTCAATGGCTAAACAGCATTTTCTGTCAAGTCTTACACGATTTATGAGGTATCCTTACAGACTGAAAGGAAAACTTTTCACAGCGAAGGGCCATAAAACCCTGGCTACAGTTAGAATAACCCTTTCAATGCTGGCTAGATCTCCTAGGTAATTAAGATCTATTCTTATGTAATTTTAAATAAAATAACATTTAAACCAGTTCATTAGTCATTTCCTGGAACCATCCAATAAGAGAATCTACCATATTATATAAGCAGATTTTAATTTGCCTAAAAACATATCTTATCCTAATTTAGAGCAAATCAATACACCTGGATAAAAAAAGCGGTATGCTAATACGTGATAATATCACATCAATATATAATTATTCTTAATTCCACCTGCAGAATGGAATGTTTATAACTATATATTCTTTAGTTGACTAAGATTTCTTAATATGGAAATCTGACCGTGCTTTATCCAGTCATATATAATGCTATTAGTACATTTTAATTAATTTAAATTAATTAAATGAAACCAGTATAATTACCAGTTGAGTAGATATTTCATCCGATTGGTAGATAGTCTCAGGAACTTATTTGGATGTCTCTCTGCATGGAGGTGTGTAGGAATTTGTGTGTCCTAGAGTGTCATTGCTCCCCACTGCTCACTTCTTTGCTTTCTTTGCATCTCCTTCGCATACCCCCTGTCTTCCCTTTGTCCTAACTTTTAAAGGGCCAGACTCTCTGTACGTCATCAGTTGATAACCCAATAGAAGCACTAGAGGTGTGGTTATCTTCCAGATCGCAATTTAGTTATTTGGTCTACAGAGGGCAGTCTTGTCCCACTAAACATACCTATCCAGGAAAGAGTTAACTTTTCTTGGTGGCTATTTTGACGTCATTTTGGCCTATCTTTATAGTGCCATAACTTACATTTTTGCTGTCAGATCAAACAGCTTCTTTAAGTTTTGTCCAGACTTAGTGTCTGCAATTCCTGCTATAATTTCTAAAATGGCAGATCATGAACTAAGTTTAACCTTAAACTTACAATGGTACCTTACATATATAGACAGTAAAATTTTATTATTTAATCTTCTCTGTCACAATTGTCTGGGTTTAGAATTGATTATATTCCATTAGCATTTTAGACAGTCTATCCAACCCCCGTTCTCCTTATAACTTGGTTTGTATATACTATGCATTGCTTTAGCTCTGGGAAAGTGGTTAGTTTTACAGATAGAAATCTTGTGTCCACAATACCTGACAGCAGAGGCAGATGGGACGGTCCAGACGGAACAGACGGACGACAATACGGAAGCTGAACCACCGACCCAACCAAACCAAGACGACCACTCAGAGCCGGAGATGCCCCTTGCCCCGGAGGCGGGGGGGGTTGAGGTGGGGACCCGGGACCTGACACCCCACCCCCTACCCTCCCGCACCTTACCCTCACCCGCAATGCCCTCACCCCATTAACCTACACTCCCATCCCACCCGCCCCCCACAACACACGTTAAAATACATGACCAACTGCCGACAGGCTGCCTTGAGAATGCCACCTACACTCGCAGAAACGCCACCTCCCTTACAGGACAGACCATACACCACAGCACCCACAAAGACCCACCATGACCAACACATATCGGACAAGGGATGAACCAACCCAACAAGACTGTCCAAACGCCCAACACTCAAGTGCACTACACCACGATACCAGAACCCACCCAACCCTCACAACCCGGGACAGCACCCGCTCGACCAATACACCCCCGACACTAATAGGATCCCCAAACAGACACAGAAAGACACCAACACAGAAGGGACACCCCAACAAGACTACACCCCGACGCATGACACACACACAGCCACCACCCACACACATCAAAGAACAGCGACTAGCGCAAAGGGGACACCCACAACAAACGCGCACACAGGACAAAAACTACCTGACGGACCCTCGACCCCCAAACGCCCCACTACTCGACAACCACTCCCTACCCCCCACCCCAACGGATCAGTAGAGATGCTCTCAGGAAGCAGGGCTAGACAAGGTCACAGCAAGAGCACTAAAGTTTCTGCCTTATCGCAGTTTATCTGCTTCCCAACACAAACATACCAATTAATAAAATGACTGAATCTGAGTGTTCTCTATAGCTTTCATGTCTAAAACTTGAGAGAATGGCGAAAATATTCTCTTTCTATTTTTCTAAGACTAGTTCCTTCTTGAAAACTGTCAATGCTGAAAGATGTTGCAATGTAGGAATGGAATCAGATGCTCGCTATTGCTTTGTAAAATTGCTCTCTTCACATAAATACTAAAGATACCTTTATACCAAATGAACAATAACTGATATGTACACAATTTTTGCCACCTTCTGTATTGATGCATATAACTTTGTATTGCCAATTGTTATGATGTCAATAAAAGCAAATTGAATGAAAAAAGATTTAAAAAAAAAAAAAAAAGAAATCTTGTGTCTCTTTGTTAACTTGAAAATAACAAAATGGAGTCTGTTCTGTTCAGAGTGACTCAGAATATACACTTTTAATTTCTATCATAGCACAAGATGTCTGCCGATATAAATACCCTGACAATACTGAAAGTCTCTTCTGGGGAAAATGGGAAGGACTTGCTAAGGGTGCAGTACATAAGATCTGCAGCCTTTGCAAGCTCTTTTAAAATATACCCCCAATTAATACATGCCTGAAAAATCAATGCATTTATTCGTTGGGGGCATATTACCTATTATAGCATATATAATAGGTAATATTATATTTTCATCCCAAGAATTAATGCATGACAATAACTTACTGGTTGACGTTGCACATTGTTGCTTAGAAAAAAGGAAATAGGGATACAGCTAGGAGCTACAATATGAAAAACAAACAACACATAGTGATGTACAGAAAAAAATATATACCTTCTTATAACTATATACTCTATACTTTATCTATCTATCTAATTGAGCATTCTAAGCATCATGACATCTATATCTAACACTCCCTAATTTATTTCCACTAGACATTTATAGAGAGACAAGACTCCTTTATTTCTTGAAGCCTTGTATATACTTTATTTCCTTTTATTTTATTCTCTGATATATGTATTTTTTGGATAAAATTACCAGCATTACCTACTCAGCATTGATAAATAATTTAATCTCTAGACCTCACTATAGAGGATTTTTTTTGGCAAATTTAGCCAGTTTGGATATACATGCTAATATGGAGCGTTTCTTGTGCTTTTCTTTGTCTTTTGGTTAATATATTAGATTGTATATAGATAGCATTGTGGTTACCTATTGAGCCGGATACGCTAAAGCTCATAGTAGATACCTGATAGAATCCTAATATCTCTATATTTTCCATATATTGTGGAGCATTTAGGCAACTTTACATTTATTTTTATTTTATAACCCTTACCTTTTAGGGATATCCTAGTACTATTTACGTATCTCCATTTAGACTACTGTTCATCTCCAGGATACACAGCAAGTCACAATTGTTTCCGACATTGTGATAAACATTGTGTTTTTCTTTATATATTTTTTCTTTATACAATTCCCAGGGTTAAACCCCTTGTGACCCCTGGAGTCTCTCTTGTGGTACTTTAGCTGTTATTTTCGCAATTAGAGCACCGACACAAGTAGCTGGTGTTCAGCTGCGAATTATCAGAGTAAGGTAAAAAACACACTGCAAAATTGGTTGCACTCACAAGATTTTAATGAGATAAGCGCCTTGAAATCCACTGAAGGATTGTACTGGACCGCTTCCACCGTGGAGGATGGTAGATAATTAGCAGACTCAAGTAACTCAGGATACAATCAGGTTCCAGGATTTTTAAAAAGAAGATTGGTTTATTAAGGCACAATTGCCCAATAAAATAAAGTATAAAAAAAATATAGGTAAGATCAGTGGACTTTATCAAAAACAAAATGAACAGTAGTACATGAAAAGAACATGCATATAAACGATTCCCTCTCCCCCCCCCCCAAGTCCCATTCTATACATATTTCAGATGGAGTTGATTGAAGATCAATCAGTTGCAGCTGAACTCCGGATAACGTTCATTGGTGGAAAGGGTGGTGGAATTATCCAAAAGATCTCGTTGTTGGCACCAGCATGTGAACACAATTACTGGTATAGATTATCGCGGGTCCGTCTGGCTTGCGTTCCACCGGACCTTGTATGCGTCCCACGTCCTCCTTCTGGTTTCGCGCATCACTTCCGGTTCCGGTAGGAACGTCTATGCGTTCCATTATTGTGTCTACATGCCTTCCACATAAAGCACCTAATACTCAGAGAGCAGTTGTGTTACATATATGAGAAAATCAAATATAAAACAATTAGCCATATACCAACAGTATATACAAATTTTGTACCAGAAATTAAGAAGGAACTGCATCTCTCATCTCAAGGTTATGAGAACAATGAAATAATAAATCCTAGAAACATATTTTACTTTAGTAGAAATGTGATTTGGAGTTTTTTTTATTTATTTTTTTTATTATATTAATTGTGTTCTTGGTATGTGAATAAAGTTAATATGTCCACTTGTTCGTTGTAGTGAAATTATTTGTACAACTTTCTACTAAAGTTCCCCCATGTTAGGGATAAAGAAAGTATTACTCAATGTTTTAAGAGTGTATTGTAAACTGAACAAATAATTGTTCGAATTTGTATATTAAAAGAAACTTTTCCTGGATCTAAGATGACCCCTGAATATGACAATGATAGGGTGGATACTTATAAGTGGTTGTGAATTGGATGAAAAAAGGAATAAACAGTGCTCTTTTTATATAAATGGTTAAAAATTCCTTTTGGAGGGGAGATGCAAGTCCCTTACCAAAATTCAAATAAATCTCAATACTCAATTCCCCCATTATAGATTTGCCAGGTGATGACAGATGGAAAGACAAAACAGTGCTATGTCATAAAGCAAGCTAGATCTATGTCGACATTCATCCCCTTTGGTTCTAAAGAATCTAATCGATAGATCCAATAGGTTTCTCTTTGGGACAATTTAAGATCTCTGTCTCCTCCTCTCCAATATGGGGACACTTGTTCGATACCCAAGCCTCTAAAATCTCTCCAATTAAAAGAGGGGCACGAGTTACAATGTACTGGTACGGAATGAGTGGTAATACCTTTTCTAATATTGTTGATGTGCTCCATAAGACAAATCTTAAGGAGTCTCTTGGTTTTTCCCACACGGACACTGCAGTAAATATAAAACATAGTCCGTGTGGCATCCAATACCAGATTTAATAGGTAAACTTGTTTCGCTAATGAAACTGGTAAAATTAAAAGATTCCCCCAAATTCATCCTATGGCATGCTTTACACATTGAGCATCCTTTAAATCATTTGTGTCTGCATATGATATCTTCCTTCTTGTTGTCTTTTTTTGGATAAATGGGTGCTATAAGGTTTGTCAAATTCTGGCTTCTCCTATAGATAATGGGAGGATGGTTCGGTAAAACACTACCTATAACAGGATCCTGCAAAAGAATGGGCCAAAATTTTTTAGGCACTTCTTTATTTTCCAATGATCTGTGTTGAACTTAGTGATGAATGGGCGCTTGGATTCATCTTTATTATTATTATGTTATTTATATAGCGCCATCAAATTCCGCAACGCTTTACAATGGGTGGACGAACAGACATGTAATTGTAACCAGACAAGTTGGACACACAGGAACAGAGGGGTTGAGGGCCCTGCTCAATGAGCTTACATGCTAGAGGGAGTGGGGTATAATGACACAAAAAGGTTTGGATATTGTACCCTTGGTCGATCCATGAGAAGATCATTTCTTTCCCACTGTGACATAATTCTAATGTCCCTTTCAATACTGTTTTTGTCATATCCTTTACGCGTTAGTTTTTTCTTTATATATCCTGTCTGGGTTTTAAAATCTCATAAATTAGAACAGTTGCATCTTACCCTAGTAAGCTGGCTTTTTGCAATGCCTCTTAGCCAAGGTTTATGATGGCAAGACTTGATATGTACATAACTGTTACCAGGGCCGGCCTTAGGCAATTAGGCGCCCTGTGCAAAAAGTCTTCACGGCGCCCCCCCCACCTCCCACCAAGTTGCCTGAATACAGTAACACACACAGGCACCGGGGACGTGTGTATCACGAGGCAAACAAGGCATCTGCCTTGGGCGCCACTTTGCAGGGGGCGGCAAAAAAAAGCATCCCTCCAAACCCCCAGGCAGATCCCTTGCTTGCCTCGCATCCTGGGGGGCTCAAGAGCTGACCGGCTGGCCACTTTTGAGCCCCCCCAAGGCTGGCAGCGGGCAGCGAAGGAGCATACTCACCTGAGCTCTTCCTGCTCAGCTTCCTCTGCGCCGCTTAATGAAGCCGGGAGCCAGAATATGACGTCAGTCCGGCTCCCGGCATCACTAAGCGCTGCTTACTCAGCCTGTGCGCCCCCTGCCTGCCTGCCCAGCAGCCACACTGGACTGCTGGTAAGAAATCCACTCCAGCTTTCCCAGGGAGGCTGGGTGGATTTAAAATAAATGTAAAAAATATTAGTTTGTGAGTGTTAGTGGAAATGTCTGTGTGTGTGTCTGTGAGTGTTTATTTTGAAGTGAATGTGTGTGTGTGTGTGTGTGTGTCTGTAAGTGTGTAATTGTGTGTGTCTGTAAGTGAATGTGTGTGTGTCTGTGAGTGAATGTGTGTGTTGGTCAGTGAGTGTATATGTGTCAGTCAGTGAGTGTGTGTCAGTGTGTCAGTCAGTGAGTGTGTATGTGTCGTCAGTGAGTGTGTATGTGTCGTCAGTGAGTGTGTATGTGTCGTCAGTGAGTGTGTATGTGTCGTCAGTGAGTGTGTGTCAGTGAGTGTCAGTGAGTGTGTAGGTCAGTGAGTGTGTATGTGTCGGTCAGTGAGTGTGTGTCGGTCAGTGAGTGTGTGTCAGTCAGTGTGTATGTGTCGGTCAGTGGAGTCGTGCATCTTTCAGTGAGTGCTTGCGTCTGTCAGTGAGAGTGTGCATCTGTCAGTGTGTGTCCAAGTAATAGTGTATGTGTGTATGTCATTGTTTGTCAGTGTATATGAGAGTGTGTGTCTGTCAGTGAGTGTGCGTCTGTCAGTGAGTGAGCGTCTGTCAGTCAAAGTGCGGCCTTGACAGGAAGGGGTGGGGGAAATTTAAACTCGGTTACAGGCATGTACACACACACTCAGTTAAAGGCAGTCACACATACAGGCACAGGCACAAACAATGGCACAGCTACAGCGACACACACAGACAGACAGTCACATAGGCAGTCACACACACAGACAGACACACAGTAACACACACATAGACAGTTATACACACACAGGCAGGCAGTCACACAGATAGAAAGTCACACACACAGGCAGGCAGTCACACACAGACAGATAGTTACAGACAGACACACACAGGCAGGCAGGTCACATACAGGCAGTCACACACACAGGCAGTCACACACACAGACAGACAGTCACACACACAGACAGTCACACAGACAGACAGTCTCACACACACAGGCAGTCAGTCACACAGACAGACAGTCACACAGACAGACAGTCACACAGACAGACAGTCACACACACAGGCAGTCACATACATGGGCAGTCACATACATGGGCAGTCACACAGACAGACAGTCACACACACAGACAGTCACACACAGGCAGGCAGTCACACACAGAGACAGTCACACACACACACACACAGTCACACACACAGGACAGGCAGTCACACAGACAGTCACACACACACACAGACAGTCACACGCACACAGGCAGGCAGTCACACAGACAGTCACACACACACACAGACAGACAGTCACACAAACAGGCAAACAGTCACACACACACACTTACCTCTTTCCAGTGGATGCAGTTGGCTGATGGGGAAGCATCTTTCCCTCTTCCTGTACAGCAGGGGCTTCGGGAGGTATTAGCCCCGTCTCCGCCTCTCGATAAGCCCCGCCTCCGCCGCTCGGTAAACCCCGCCCCCTCTGCCGCGATTTTTTTTTTTTTTTTTAAATAGACCCGGGTGGAGAATAATTAATCCTCCAGCCAGGTACCTCTTTTAGCTCCCCTGCACTCCGGCCATGAGTGAGCTGTGTCGGCCACAGGGCGCCCCCTGTTCCATGGCGCCCTGTGCGGTCGCACAGCTCGCACACCCCTAAGGCCGGCCCTGACTGTTACCGTCTGTTTTCTTAAAAAACATTTTGATTGTTCTTGTTCTACACGGTCCAGTGGAACGCAAGCCAGACGGACCTGCGAAAATCTACACCAGTAATTGTGTTCACATGCTGGTGCCAACAACGAGATCTTTTGGATTATTCCACCACCCTTTCCACCAATGAAAGTTATCCGTTCAGCTGCAACTGATTGACCTTCAATCAACTCCATCTGAAATATGTATATAATGGGACTTAGAGGGGAGGGGGGTCTATATGCATGTTCTTTTCATGTACTACTGTTCATTTTGTTATCTCTGATGAAGCCTACTGCGTTGTACGAAACGCGTTAGATCTTACCTATATATTTTTTTATACTTTAATACTAAGAAAGCAACACCCCTTGGTCTGAACAAACCAGATTGGAGGTGAAGAAAACGGTTACCGAGGTAGTAAAGGGCCTAACCTCAGAGAACAGCAATAGGAAAAAAGAATATAACTGGGGAGTGGAGAAAACTCCTAAAGGTCCCCTCCCCCCAGTACTACCTCTAATGTAGTAAACTGATAGAACTTGCACATAAATATACTTAAATATACATTTTATTAGAAGTCAGAAAACAACAAAAAACTGTGTACGTCTATAGGGACCCACAAAGTGGGTCTAAATATGAAACAGTTAAAAAGACTGCTAAGCTTACCGCTATAATGGAAAAAATGAATACACATAAATTTAACCATATGTATACATAATCTCAGTGGTAAATGGTTAAATATGGTAAATCTGAGATCATAAAGTAGGGTATATATTGCCACACAGAAAAGCGTATGTATCCGAGCCTGGAAAAATGCCAGAGGTATACATGCCAATAGCATCAAAAAACCTACTTAGACCTCTATATAGAGATAGGAAGGGAATAGAAGTATACCTCCTCTACAGCAATTTAAATACACATGAGGAGACCAAGGTGTACCAAATGTTTCCCAGTCAAACGAAAATGAGTAAGATGGGGAGATCCCCTATATCTTGCTGATATGAGAATGGTATATCACACCGGTGATTATATAAAGTTAGAGTCTATAGAAAACCTCCCCTTCTCTCCCTAAATCGACTACCACTAATCAGAAAAAAGAAAAAAGAAGAAAATTCGCCCATAGGATAAATAGCATAAAAATGTGTTACTAAAGTATCGCCTTCTGTCAAATGAACTATAGAAGGCAACCTCAATCAATCTGAAACTAGTATAATGGAATAGTTTATCTTATAACAGTTCCAGACAATATTACACTACGTTTTTTGTCCTTTATTTTATGCACATCAGCGAAATCCCTAAAATCCCTATCTTGTATAAAAAAAAATTCACCTGCATTCACATATGGACCTACATATATGCATATTTTTATCTTAAATACCCATCACACACAACCAACAAACCCATTACAAATATCACACACAGCCAACACATAGCATACATCACATCTACCACACATATGACATTACAGTGAGATTTATTACAGTGGAGCTCTGGCATACAAAATGCACATTACTGTGTTTTATAGTTATAGAGCTCTGTGATACACTAATGGGCACATTACTGGGAGTTGTATTGTTGTGGAGCTCTGTGGCATACTCATACACTACACATTATTGTGGGTTTTATTGTTGTGGAGCTCTGTAATAAACTGGTACACTTCACATAGTACTGTGAGGGTTTTTTGTTGCTGTAGAGCTCAGTGATAAATGGAAAAACAGAGTTTTTATTCCAAGGAGGTCAACGTAAATAAGGAAAATCCAGAGCTCCAAAACAACTCACAGTATTATGTGACATGCTTTATTTGCCCCTCTGGAATGCTAAGGAGGCAGTATGGCACTACTGGCCTGCACTTCTGTTGGCTGTAGTCCATAAGTAGCTGTCTTCGTAGCTCGTGACAATCAGGACGTTGCAGCAGATTACGTGCCTGAGCTCACAAACCAGTTGTACATGGTCTGCACTCAGTAGAGGGGCAGACCAGATTCCCAGCAGAGTGGAACACCAGATATCAGCATCCCCCCCTCTCTGCAGGGTAACAACAGGAAAGGGGGAATGCATATTTGTTTTTAAGAACTATTGTGATGGAATTTCGGTGAAATGTAAATTTAGTAGGCCGAGATTTCCACGTGGCATATGTGTATGTTGTATCAGTTAGTTAGTTACAAATAGCTAAGATACTGTCATCAATGTACTGAGCATGTGCAGGAATGCAGGAACTGAAATCACATTCCTTTCTCCTTTGTTTCGGATGAGCCATGTGGTCTGCCCATATAAGGAAATCCAAATCCTGTCCACTGATTGGTTAAGGGTATGTGCGGGTGGAGCTATTAATGGGAGGAGTTATAGTTCTATAAAAAGCATTTACTCCATGTGTTAGGCCCTCAGACCTGTTTTGGAACGTTAGTTCATCTGAGACCCGATTGGTATGTTAATAAAGACCTCTTACTTTCTGAAAACCTGCATCCATCTCTCAGTGTCTGGCTTCTGCAAGTTTACTTGGTTACATCTTTGGTGCATTGGGTCCGGGAACCTCATCCCATGGAAGCTGGCGCAGAAATTTGAGACAGTAAACTTTTTACCAACGTTCTCTACGGCAGCACCCCTGAACTTCTGCGTGGACATCCCTTCATCTCGGCGCCACTGGGCTGCTTCGCCCAGGAGATCATTGGCCTTTATGTAGTAAGTATCTAGGTGCCCCGTCGAAGAGTGTGAGCCTAGGTTCAGGAACGAAGAGGTAAGACTGATACCGTTAGAGCGTTAGGCCTACAAGGGGTTTTATATTTGGAACCAGTTATTGGATTACCCCCTCCCTCTGGAGGGAAGAAGCGAAGGCGCACCGCTTATCTGGAAATTAGACGCTCTGTAGTCAGCCCGTCTAATATAGGTGGTTTGGGTCAGGCTAAACCTTGGTGTAAATAGTTTATGACGGACACCGGTGTCCTGTCTTGACTAGTGTGTCTAGGTGTAAATTGTGGTCGCTAGGTCGGGGAGGCCGGCGAGACTAAGCAGATTCTGGTGTACATTCCGTCTGCTAGTTCTCAACCTATCTTGGCTAAGTGTGCCCTGTTGTAAATTCAGCCACTAGACTATTGATAGAGTAGATAGACTAAATGGGTACTGTTGTAAATTCCGCCCACTAGTTCGCTATATGTGGTGCTTGGGCAGCGTAGACTAACCGAATCCTGCTGTAAATAGTTCGATAGTTCTCGAGGTGCTGGCCAATTAGAATAGTTGGGATTATTGTAAATGTTGTTAAATATACTGTAGTTGGTGAATTGGTGAATTGTATGTCCTACTAGAAAGCCTGAGCTCTGCCGTCTAGTGGGAGTGTAAATTATGTGTATACTGTATAATAACCATTAACATGTACTATAACTACTGACGTTGTGTAAAAATTACTAAAAACTGTTGTCTTATGTTATATGTGTAATACCATAACTGTTACTAACTGATCTGTGACTTTAAAACTGTATTATAACCACTTGCTAACCTTACCATAACCGCTGATTGTAAAGATGAGGTTACTAGAATGTGATATAGTCTGTTAGTTAAAACTTGATTTATAATGTGGATAAATGTAGGATTTGATTTATAGTTACAGAGATATCTAGCGTTTGGTAAATCTTTGTGAGTGAGACGTCGTGATATCACTGTATATACGAGAATTCTCTGCGTGTTTTCGTGTGTGTGTCTTTGGCCTAGCAACTGTGCCACGTGGTGCTGTTGCCAGGGAAACAAGTGTGATCGTTGGAAGTGTGTTTTGGGGTATTGTGTTTCTTTGTATTAGACGCTCCGTTGCCAGTATGGGTGCGTCTGATTCAAAGATTGTTGATCCCTTGTCGTGTATGTTGAACAACTTTGCAAAGGGATATAAAGTTTGTGATTTTGGGGTGAAATTATCCCCAAAGCATTTGACTACATTATGTAGTAGACAGTGGCCTATCTTGGTAGAGGCATGGCCTCCACGTGGTAGTCTTGATCTAACTCTAGTCCAACGTGTGCACGGGGCTGTATCTAGAAGGCCTGAATTCTATGATCAGTTTCCGTATATTGATTGTTGGAAACAGATTGTGGAAGAATTGCCTAAATGAATTAAGGTATGCCACGGGGAGCAATGTCGACCTCATGGTGGCCAGGACTCGCCTGTCCATCAGGGCCACAACCCCGCCCATTTTAGACTTTCCCTAAAACTCCCCACCCCTTTACTCCTCCTCCAAGGTTAGAGGAGGTACTGCTGGTGTAGCCACTTCCCCTTCCCCATTGTCACTGCCCACTCATTCATCTAGTTTAGAGCCCAGCCCACTTGCCCTGAGTCCTCCCCTTCCGGTACCTACCTCCACTAGTTCTATATATCCGGAATTAACGTCACTTCTGGTTCCTGGTCTGGCTCCTCCCAGCCTGGCCCGCAACATCCTGTTGACTGAACTTCTGCCCAGTAAAATTAACCCGCCTCATTCTCCTTACCTTACTACCCCTAGACCGGAACTTACTACAAAACAGCCTTGTCGAAGTCCTATATTAACCCGACAGATGTCTGATACCCTTCAACCCAGACATTACCAAATGCCCCTCAGACTTACACTGGGCCCAACACACTTTGACGAAAATGGCCAAATACAACGGGTAGATCCAGTGTTTGTCTATGTCCCCTTCACCACAACTGATCTATTCAAATGGAAGACTAATAACTCTTCGTATACCGACAAACCTCAGGTCATGACAGATTTGGTTACCTCAATTATACAAACACACAATCCCACCTGGGCTGATTGCCAACAGTTATTATTAACTTTATTTAATTGTGAGGAAAGGACCCGGATTAATCAAGCGGCTATTAAAGCGCTTGAGGAAACGGTCCATAGTCAAAATCAGGCCAATCCAGCTGCATGGGCTGCAGCCCATTATCCAAATGTTGACCCAAATTGGAATGTGAATGGTGCTCTGCATTAACAGGGAGCCGCGGGCCCGCGGCTGCACACATAGATAGCGATATTTGCTATGTGTGGAGAGAGGGAAAGTGGGGCCCGAGACTGTCGATGTAGCAATAGGGGGAAAGAGAAGTTCTTTCATGATTGACACTGGTGCTGAACATTCCGTGGTGACTAAATTGGTGGCACCACCCTCAGGAAAACTATAACTGTGATAGGAGCTACTGGGAGAAGCGCAGCTAGACCGGTATCTTAAAAGTCGCACTTGCATTCTGGGTGGCCATTTGGTGAAGCACCAATTCCTATATATGCCAGAGTGTCTGATTCAACTTCTAGGACGAGATCTATGATCGAAGCTTCAAGCCCAGATTACTTTTCTACCCAATGGATCAACATCTCTGAGGTTTAATGGATTATCAGGCATAATGGCTGTATCGGTGCTAAGGGAAGAAGAATGGCGCTTCTACTCCATAATGACAAGTGTAAACCCTAAGAGTGATGAACCTTTATTTGACATTCCAGGAGTATGGGCAGAGAATAATCCACCTGGGCTTGCTCGTAATATTCCACCTATACATATTGAACTAAAGCTTGGGGCCTATCCTGTGAGCCTACGTCAGTATCATATACCTCAAAAGGCTAAGAAAGACATACAGACCTACTTGGATAAGTTCGTAAGGTATGGCATCCTAAAATTCTGTACTTCCCCCTGGAACACTCCATTATTACCTGTTCAGAAACCAGGATCAGATGACTATCGTCCTGCACAAGATTTGAGAGCAGTTAATGATGCAGTAGTCAATATACACCCAGTTGTACCCAACCCTTATAATCTGCTTGCTTTGATACCAGGTGGGGCAACCTACTTCACAGTTCTAGACCTTAAGGATGCTTTCTTTTGCCTTCGGATTGCTGCTGAGAGTCAGTGTATCTTTGCTTTCCAATGGGAAGATGCTGTTACAGGTTCAAAGCGTCAGATGACCTGGACCAGACTACCTAAAGGGTTCAAGAATTCACCTACCCTATTTGGATCTGCATTAAGCCAGGATTTGCAAGATTTCAAGTCCATCCCAGGAGAATATGTATTGCTTCAATATGTGGATGATCTTTTGATAGTGGCTGTTACCAAAGAGATATGCCAACGAGCAACTTATGATTTGCTTCACATTCTATGGAGAGCAGGATACAAGGTATCAAGGAAGAAAACGCAATTATGCCAGTCAACTGTCAAATATTTAGGATTCCATATTTCCGAAGGTCAAAGAATAATGGGACCTGAAAGAAAAGAAGCAGTGTGTCGGATATCTATACCTAAGAATAGAAGACAAGTGTGAGAATTCTTAGGAGCAGCAGGATTCTGTAGGATATGGATTCCTAATTATGCGATACTGGCAAAACCTCTATATGAAGCTGTGAAAGGCACAGAATATGACCCCTTTTTGTGGACCTCTGAACAACAGAAGGCATTTAAGGATGTTAAGAAAGCACTTATGAGCGCCCCAACCCTAGGTCTAGCAGATCACACGCGTCCTTTCTATCTGTACGTACATGAGCAAAGAAGAATGGCTGTGGGAGTATTAACTCAGTATTTGGGATCATGGCAAAGACCTGTAGCTTATTTGTCCAAACAGTTGGATGCAGTGGCCAGTGGTATTCCACCTTGTCTTCGAGCAGTGGCCGCCGCTGCCCTGTTGGTAGCAGAAGCTGACAAGCTCACATTGGGTCAGGAACTCTATGTGTGAGTACCCCATGCAGTACAGACCCTATTGGATTACAAAGGAAATCATTGGTTTAGTAACAGTCGAATGACTAAATATCAAGCTATGTTATGTGAAAATCCAAGAGTACAC